TGAGAAAATAAACACTGCTACTACCTTAGTTGTAGTCTATGAAAATCTGCCTTGGGAGTCTGATCTCTCAAAGACAGTGAGATGTGTGCACTGGGTACGTGCTGGCAGGTAGAGAGGACCTCTCTGAGAGGGGCAGTGGATGTTAGAAAGCAGCTACTGATGATGCCACTTAATTCCTGGAAGCACGTGTGAAATTCCCAGCGCACTTCCACTGAGGGATTTCCAGTAGAGATTTTACTCCGTGTGGTTTGCCAGGTCTATCAGTATGGCTCAGTATCATGTTGTGGGTTCACGGGGGGATAAATCTCATCCCTCCGTGGTGAAATTCCATGAGCAGGCTGGACAGCGGTAGACTGGAATGTGGTGCTGCTCTGCTCATGGCCCAGAGCAGCAGAACCTGCATCTTCCCTGGGATCAAGGCTGCCAGGGAGCACAGGGATGGTGTGTGGTGCGTCTATTTTCTGCTCCGAAGGCTGCCTTGGATCCTGGACCAGGTGAGCATCGCACCTCACATGCATGAGCTGTTTTAAGCGTGGAATGCTCATCACACAACTGAGCTCACAGTGTGAATGGTGTGAATGCTGCCACAAAGGGCGAGACTTGGAAAGGAAGCAGCACAAGCTGATGGCATCATTTCTGCCAAACCTCTCTGCAAGGTAGCAAACATGCCTTTCCTCCTGCTTTGCACAATCCCTGCTCCACCAGGACAGACCACTCCTCTACTGTCTTCAGATTGACTCTGTGCTGCCTGTAATGTGCTAGTGTCTGTTGACCATGAGCAGATTTAAATAGCTTTTCCCTGTGCCTTCTTTTCCTTGTGGCTTGGCAGGAGCATGAATAAGCCTTCATTGTTGAGGTGAAGGTTAAAAAACCCACACAAATCCCAACAAATCCACAAGTTCTTTTAAGCTCTCTAGTACATGGCAGTGATGATACAGTTGAGTTTAAAAGGAAGTAACAAGATCACACCCCATGATTAACCTTGCATGCCTTCTTTAGGATGGCTTCTCTTTGCTCTTTGTGCTCTGCTTGTGCTTATATGTTGGCATTAGATCACAAGTGCTGCTGTCACTAAAATACACCTTTTGCCTCCACCTCTGTTTGAATACCTTAATCTCTGAATTGTTTCGAGACTGTGCTGCAGCAGACCAACCTCTTATTTTTTATTATAAAGAATAAGTGACAGCAGCTACAGAGGGGGCAGTGAGCCTCTGCACAGACAGACGGATATTTGTTTTATTTTAATTCTCAGTGACCTTTATTTTATCCTGATTCAATTGCTTACTCAAGGGCACCAGCATTTTTTGTACCTTTAATGCATTAAACATTTTTTCAACTAAAGGAAGCGTCACATATATCTCTTGTTGTCTTAGGAGTCACGATTAACCTTCAGCAGTGAATGTGCCCAAGAGGAAAAATGTGGAAGTGGAAAGTGGATTTGTTTGTAGAGTGGAGAAAATAAAAATCTCCTGTGCTATGAACGTACCAGTTTTAAACCCTCAGAGTTGAGGGATCCCCCGAAAAGTCAATTTTATTTTCTGACAGCTGTTCCTGACTTAATTTAATTAATGGGAAATGTACATAGCCACCTTTTTTGCAAGTTAATAATGTCCATGTCATTTTTTAATATGAGCATTTTCTGATATGCTCTTGTTTGTGTACCTTCTTTAAGAGGCTCAAGTGTCTACACACCGTGCAGGAGTGTCCTCTGTTGCAAAGGTACTGAGGCCTTGCAGATGGCTTGTGAGAAAATGAAAGAGATTAATGAAGCAGGTTGTCTAGGTAGTGGAATACAAATTCACTACTTGCATCCTCATGTTGTCCACATTTGATCTAAAAAAACTCTATTAAGTAGCCTTTGAAGACCAATCCCGAAACTTGAGCTGAAAATGTTCACTGAAGCCTTTGTTTCAGAATTCCCTATTTTATTTATAAATAACACAGATGTATTTACTACAGTTACAGAATCCAATCTGTTTGAATTATTTTTTGTTTAGGCCTCCTAAAACAAAATTCTTGAGCTGATCATGAACTTCAGGGATTAAAAATAGTTTTAAAAAAATTACCCCAATGTATGATCTGCTAATTTATCTGGACTGTCAAATCCCACCCACCAACCAACATCAAATAAGAACCAGGAGACTTTAGCTTGTACTGGAACACAGCTGTCAGGAATATCTCCAGTTCAGATATAGGGAGTTGATCAGTGGTAAACTTCCCATTTTATTTGAAAAATGGAATCTACCTTCACTGTTAAGGGTCTGTTTTATATCATACGCATATCATACTATCCAATTGTCATTGAATAAAAATGTCAATTTTAAGGCGTTCACTATGTTAAATATTTGCTTTTTTCTTTGAGTAGGTGAATGGCTATATTAATATGATTAGTTATGTTTGTATTAATGTTTACCAGGAGTGCTAATCAGTAGTGACTTGTCATTAATTCATTGACATTTTTAAAAGAAGAGGAAATGTTACTCTGTGTGTGAATTTTCATTGTTCAAACACCTCTGTGAAAAATTAAATTTCATAGCAGTTGGCAGATGTTTCCATTGCTGGTATGAGTGAGTTTCACAGTTTGATCAAAATTATCTTAAATTTTCTGTATTAATTTTAGCCACATTATAATTTGACTATAAGTAGACATGGTCGATCAAGATTTGCACAGCTCTGTCATGCCAAATTTTAGGTGGTGTTAACCCTCCTTTCTCCATCACTGAGAAATAGTCTAGAAGTTCAGGATGTGCACATGGATTTGGAAAACTTACCTGGTTCCAGACAGTCCCTGAACAATTTCAGGGCCTGGATTGATTTTGCTTACCTAGGAATGATGAGCTACATGGATTTAAAGATACTTTGTTAATGAAACCAAGTTTTCAGGTTTCTGTAACCATTTTGCCCCTTGTTTCAGTTTCCACTTTGTAATGGCTCTGGCACCTTGTCTGGTTAACTGGCTCCCCAAGAACTGAAAGTAACTAAATACCACCCTAGTGGGGTTTAATTTATATACACCTCTACCTTCCATTTCAGTGTAGACTCAGTCCAAAACGTTCTCTTTTCAAATTTTTTTTACATGGGCCAGAACCTTTCTCAACAAGTAGAACAATATCCGGAAGCATGTTGTCCTTCCCCCTACTCCTTAAAATGTACATCCCAAATGCTCAGGTGTCTTCACTAGTTGAGATTAGAGACAAAAAGCTCCCAAATTTGAGCAAGGCCACCATATTGAAAGAATTTTTTGTTTCTTAAAGAATCCCCATCACTAGTCCAGGGATACCTTTAAACCCATCTAACTGGGGACTCCTGGTTGCATGCCTGGTAAGCTGGGTTGGTTTCTTTAGGATGTTCTTTAGGAACATATGTATGTTCTTTAGGATCATAATTTTCATGCATTTAGCACCTGTGCTGTAGCATCTGATTGTCTGGACTCTCTTTTATCTGTTAATTGCTCATTTGTTCAGCTTTACTCATGTTTATTTTCATAATTTTTATTTCTTGGTTTTTTTCCCCCTCTGATACTGTTTTGGAGAGAGGAGCAGTTGCAAGTGGTTGCACCTCTATTCTCATTCAGATGACAGAAGAGCAATGGGGATTGCTAAATGCCCCAGTTACCTTGGTCGCTTCACATTTGAAAGAAAAGCCATGCAATTTTGGGAATCTGATCAATCAGCTGCAAATTCTGGGCTTGCTGGTGTTTCCCCATATCTGTCTATCTGTTTCTGTAGTCTCTCTAGCCCATAATCAGAGAACAAGTTCTAAACAAACATGAGCATAATTCATCTCACTACTCTGTTAGAAGTCATACAAACACATCACCTTGAAAAATAGTTGGTGTGTTGTTCTTTACTGTTTTTATTTATATTGTTTAATATTTATATATTGCATTTATACATTTGAATACCAGATGGATTACGTTTTTTAAAGTTTTGTCTCTTTCCCTATCCTTCTACTTGCATGATTATTTTTGAATGAAGTAGGTATTTTCAGTTAGGCAATCTTATGGCCTAAGGTGGGTGTAAAATGTTTCCTCTAATAAAGGAACATTTGAATTGCCATGACTCTCTCTGGTTTATCTGTCCTTCTATTCACCTTATTTTGCAGGAATGAATTAATGTTTCTCTCCACAAGTGTTTGTGAACATTATGAGATGTTTTCAAACTATGTGTGGCAATGCAAGATCTTAATATCTCTTGTGTGGCTTAAAAACATCTGTGACATAAAAGTGTGGTGAACAATTGGGTGGTTGCAGGAACTGTTCGTCAGTAGTTGAAGGTGTTACTAAAAACTACAAGGAAGTGCTTCACACACAGCACCAGGCTCTTTCCTGACAGAATGTGTGCAGCCTCTCAAGAGAGCCACATTGGTGCAGAATTGCTGTGGGATAATAATATAGGATGGTCAACATGGAGTTTTATTTTGTTTGTTTTGTAAACAGGATTTGGGCTCTCACGTGCCTTCATAGTTTATCCAGAGTTGTGCCCACAATTAATTCGGGTGAAATGTTTGATTTGGGGCAGAACTGAGAGGTTTGAGTGCACCCAAATCTGCTCTTGGCTAAGAAGTTTTCTTTAAAAGCGGGACTAGTAGGCTACACAGCCAGTTAGAGGGGTGCAGACGAGTCTGGAGTGACTGAAACCTTTTACTGTTTGGCCTTTGAGGGCAAAGCTGAATTATAGCAGGGAAATGCCTGCATTGCCAAGCCTTTCTCGTGACTGGCTGAGAGGTCAAAGTGAGGAGATAGGAACGGAGGCTGCTCTAGTTGCTTGCTCAGTGATTTTTCTTCTTTGTAGCTTTTAAAGTCATACTGCTTTTTAAGGACTTTTTCCCTTCTCCTCTGCACTTCAGGTTTTCTTAATCTGTTCAGAGGCATATAAAGTACCACAGCCATGACACCACCTAAGGAAAGTTTGGTAGGGGATTGCAGCCTACTAAGGGCCTGAGGATTCACTCCCAATGCACTCCTTACATTATAACCATTTCCAATTTCAGTTTTCAGGTGCTTGGTTTAGTAGTGACAGACTGCAGAAAGCTGACTGATTAATGGCAGAAGACTTCTGTTCAAAACCTAGTTTTCCATCAAGCTAGTTCTGATGGAAGAGATTTTCAGTGATTCCCTAAACAGCATGTACATAATTAAGAAAAAGCCCTTGTGGTTCTCAAGCCTCCAGCATTTGTGAATGGTCTATAAATGTGCTTATTGCTTTAGTCCAATAATCTTCCTATTCATTATTTCATTTTAAATAATACTGCAGGAAAATTAGATGTCTTGAATGTTTATTCAGTGTACTTTCAGAGTGGCAAGCCAAAATGTCAGAGGCTAGTGATGAAAAAATATCTCTAAGTTATTAAACTTGTATATCTTGCTTGCTTCTTATTGTAATCTGTTCGGTTTGCATTTTCTGTCCCTTGAAAATTTTCTTGATGACTGATATATCTGACACTCTGATTTTTTCAATGTGAGGATGTTTCGTTTATTAGCCTGTGGAAAACTCATAGGTGAAGATTGGTATCTTGCTTCCATTCTTATTTTTGAGTCTGTTTTTTCATTTTCTGATGGGTGTCTGATGCACAAGCTTCCTCTGGTAATTCAGAAGAAAAAAAAGCCCCAAGCTGTGTGATCTCACAGCCCACACAGCAGGGCTATGGAGAGGACAGAGATGTAGGTCTGCTCTTTCTGTGCCAAGGCACTCCGGGCTGGCACACCCCTGCACAGCCTGTTCCATGCATGTGGTCACATCAGGCCTGCAGGGAGACTGGGAAAATGCCTCTCTCTACCTTCAGATCTTCACCAGAATATCAGTAGTTTTCTTTACCTTTGTACCTGCTATTGGCCTGTGCTTTTTAAGATTATTTCTTTGTGGTTTTTTTCCTATTCCTACTTCTTAAACAAGAGCAAGCCTTTCTGTGTTTGTCTGACATGAAGCATATTTTCAGGAGCATGACACAGACAAGAAGCACTATTTTCAGATCATCTTGTTGCAAGTAAATTCAGGAAACACTCCAAGTGTTCCTCTGTTGTTCTTCATGTAAGATCAATCCTGACTGGAGGTAAAGACCTCTGATCTGCAGAAGTACAGACTGCACATGTTCAGCTGTTTCAATCCCATCTAGAGAGAATCAGTCCATCTGTAAGCATTTCTTGTAGTATTCCCACACTTGTACTTTTGGCCTTAGACAAAAAATGAAAGATCAGGACCTTAAAATCTGAGAACCAAGAGGTACCTCTCTTGTTGTTCTGTTGTACAACTTCCAGTGATCTGCTGCTGAAGAATTGGTAAAGTTAAAGCTTAGATAACATTGTTTTCCAAAGAGCTAAAATCTCTATGTCTTCTTTTAAATTTGGTAAGAGCATCTGTGTATTCAGCGCTCCTGAAAAATCAATCCACTGATTTGGGATGTCAACCTAAATAATAAGTTGGTAGAAAGTTAACAAACTCCCACAGATGCATTTGACTAAGAGACACACTGGTGTGCAGGTTAGAGGGGGTAAAGAATTGGGAGGAAGTTGTGTTTCAGCCAACCTGCACCTTCTTCTGCCTTATGTGACTCAGTTTCCTGCCTCCATAGGTTTTAGAGCATTTTCTCTTCCCCACAGCAGCTGTTTTACAGTAGGTGATCTGTGGTACCCAGGCATCAACTCCACATCAGGATTTAGGTTTCCAAGTGCAGGGCCTCCCGTGAACATGACTGAGACTGTTATAGGTCATAACTGTTTTCTTCTCAAAAGTATTTACGAGTAGTATAAGTTTACCTACAAGTCAAGAGGGATGCTTACAAAATACCTTGCTTTGCAGTATTTTCTTGGTCAAAAACTGCACTTCTGCCTATGATTCTCATGTCACTTGTGTCCACAGTTGTGCATAACTGGTTGGAAGCAGAGCTGAAATGCCTGTGAATCTCTTCAATGGAAACTATATTTATGTTTGTGGGTGCTAACTTTGTAATGAATTGGACTTCCAAGTGCTGTGATGGCAAGGGAACGCGGTGTACACTGAACAACACCCCACGCCATCTCCCTTTCCAAGTTCACACAATCTTTAAATAAAGCTAATATTTTGCTAATTTTTATGCAATATGTTGGTCTTCTAGTCTGTTCTTCTCATTAAAGAAACACTGTCATGGCAGGCTCTTCCTCTTCTATTTTAGCTGAATGAATAGCATCATATTCTGGGAGTTTTTTCCAGGCAAACTGTCATGCATGCCACTCTGCAAGGAGATGCAGAAGGTAGAATTTTTGTAAAGTGGTTTGAGACTTGAGCAGTTGATCTCCAGTGAGAGCTGTCTGCTTATTCCTACTCCTGCTAAAGGCATCAGCTGAAGATTGTTGGTCCTCTTGCTTTCTGAAAACGTGTAACTGAATGAAAGACAAAGTGTTTCGTGTATCAAGAAAGGATATTGCTTTGGATTTTCTTTTCTTTTTTAATAATTGCGAATAGAGTGATATTGTCTTAGTAATACTTGTGATCTGTGGCTGCTTCCTGTCATTGTCAGTGGCCATTACTGAATATTTCACGGTAAGTGGTGGTTCCCCTCTCTTTATTTCAGCCCCATCCTCAAAAGTGGGTGTTTGCAGCATACAGTGCACTGCCTGTTGAGTCCTATTCTTACCTCTAGCAGAGGGTTCATTAAGGCCCAAAGAATGGGATTTAATAACTCTTCCAGATTTTTTTTGCTAGACTTGTCTATGATCACTGATTCTCATCCAGATAGATTTTCAAGCCTGCTTTTAGTTTCAGCTCACAACTTCATCAGTTCTGAATGGCCACATCAACAAAATCTCTAAAAGTGCAGTATTTTTTCTTTGTGTGTCCTGCCAGAAACAGGAAGGATTTCTCCCTTTACCTTAGAACTATGAAGAAAATTGTCTTTTCATCAACCCCTCTTCCTCTCTACATCTCCTCAGATGACTCGGTTCCCAAGGACTTTCTCAGCTCTTAGCTCAAGAGGTTGGCATAAAAAATCCTTTTCCAGATTCTGGGGTTAACAAGCTAGTAACCAAACTGAGGGGCTGAATAAAAATTTCATCCCTCTTAGTTTAATAGGGTTCCCTAGGAAGTGCTTCATGTGCCAGAAAGCCAGCAGTTCATGAAAAGCTAACTCTCTATAAATAATCAGCTGGGGGAAAAAAAGAGGATAGACAAGACTGGAATTTCCAAATTTTAGGCAGGAAAAAATGTAAACAGAAACAACTACCATTTGCTTCAGCTGTGCAATGTAAATAAAGTGGGAAAGCTTCTTCAGGCACCATAGAACACAGATTTCCTCAATAAAATTCTTTACAAATCTTAAATAGTGAAAATCAAGGCAGGCAGGATTGTTTATCCCCAGTTTCAAGCACCAGACTTTTGCTTTTATTCTGAAATAGGATAAGCTTAAAGACAAATATGATCTGGGGCTAAATTAGAACCTTCCATGTATAAAAAAGGCAATACTGGAAGTTACAGATTAAAAGAAGGAAAAATCAGTCATTTTATTTAAAGGCTTCTGCCTGCTCACAGGAGGACAGGGGTCAAATCTGATCCAAGTGGTGAGTCCTCCCTGTGGGCAGAGTGATGCTGTGGTCATGGTTGTAAGGGACTTGACATGAGTGGATTGTTCTTACTTTCCCCAACAGAGAAGGCAGAGGCCTGGCTTGGGAATGCTTGTGTTGGATCCTGTCTGTCAAAAATTGAAAGCCCGCTGAGATGTCTGGCTGTGGCTGAGGAGAGGATGGTCTAGCACAGCATTGCTGTGTCTGTGCATATGAACTTGCCTGGTGCTGTTCTTACAGTCACTTCTCTGTGCTCTCCTAATGCCTAATTAGAAGCTGAGCAATTAGTTCAAAAAGCCTTAGCAGAGTTTCCTTTTGGAAATTGGTGCCTTTGGTGTTACACAGACAAGGTGAGTCTGGCTGAGTTCCCAAGACATTGCATGTAAGAGGAAAGCAGCAGATAGTAGCAGTTTAATAAGGCCCCTTGATGCCCTTATCTGCTGGATAATAACTTTAATTGACAGTTAATGTTTTCAGCTGCATAAACATTTTTCAATTATTATTTATGCTTCAGAGAAAGGTTACTCTTGATAATAGAATCTTTAACCTCAGATCTTAAGCAACTTTTTTAAAATCACAATTTGAGACAAATAGGATGCTTTAGGATTTTTTTACTGGCTACAGAATCATGTAAATTAAACCACTCTAAATATACCTATTTGAAGAGTTCTTAACTTTGCTACTTCTGTTTTTAGAATGATTATGAGTTCCAAGGGAATAATTTACCTTGTAAAAATAAAATCTCAGGCACCACAGTTGCGTTGCTGCCCATCTCTGGGATCTTTGCAATGAGAGAAGTTCCTGTATGCTGTTGCACTTACAGCAGCTGTTCACGGACAGTTACATCCAGTGCCCATTGGTCTGGGGCCTGGTTGAGGATGTATCATCATCAGGCTTATGGGGCAGCTGTAAGTGCTGGTGTTTATGATGCTGCTGCTTCTTCTGCCCATTCCTATTGCCCTGGACTGTGGGGCTTGGTTGCTTAGAGACAGACTTATGAGATGACAGTGGTGTTTATCTCTTGACTCTCAGCAAGTAAGGAGTGTTAATTTGTAGTTCATATTGTAGCTGACTTTCTCTTTGGTTTATTAAATCCGGTGTGTTCAGTGCGTTCTCTGAAAGGTTTCATTTAGCTGAGTTTTCCAGCTGTCTTAAAAGTATGGCACAGCAGGCATCGGATTTGAGCTCCCAGAGCAGGGCAGAGATTAATACCAAGTGTGACATTTGGAAGAGTGTCTAGGGGAATGCACTATGCCTGCATATTGCATTTCAAAAGCACTTTACCACTTGCCAGCCTTTTTATTTTTCTCGAATTTCGAATTCCTACGGGAGTTAGACTGAAAGGGAAGAGTTTTTATGCTTCCCTAAAATAACTGCTTACGTCTTATTCCGTACCAATTAACTCCCCCCCCAACTTTTCACACCCTAAATGTGCAGCAGACAGAACAAAAAAGCAGGGAACCTGACTCAGTACTGAGCTCTACCCAGTGCAATTCCTCTGTTGCTGTCTCCGTTTTTCTACTCCAATCCCCAAATTCCTCCAGCCTCTTCCTTCCCTTCTTGCTGCTTTTTGCCCACCCTTACCTTCTCCAATTATCCTGATAGAGCAGCCAACATTTGCAGAGCTCCTGGCCAGCTCTCAGCAATGAGACACATGTGCCTTTCCTGTGGGCTGGTGGATGAAGAATATTGCAGGTTATGTCATGTGTAAAGCAGAGTCTCACAGGTACGATCTTGTGAGCTACATTCTACTGCGTATTATGACAGGAGAAAGCCAGTTGGTGTGTCATCAGGGAGGCAGCAAAGTAGCAAGACTTATTATGTTCTTGTTTTCACTTTCAGTTCACAATTTAAATACCCTCAAGGAGTAAATTTTCCCTGCTTATAACAGTCATTTTGAATTATAATGTCATTGAAAATTTCATTTTTCCTTTGCACAGGAAGACAACAGCTGTTTTCTGCAAGGCAGAGGGGTGTGGAGAGAAATTGTGATCTCTGCCACAATTCTTCAATACTGTACAACAGAGGCTTTAGCATCTGTCATTTACTCAGAGTGGTGCATGTTTGTGCATGATACTTGTTTTCTTGATACTTGTCTTTTTGGTGCTATTCCAATTGAAATGTAGTAATAGAAGTCATACAGTGCAAACATATTCCAGTTCACATAAAGGGATGTAATCAGCAGTTCATACTTGGGTTTTTAACTGTTGCATTTACTGGAAATGTTATTAATGCAAGCAAGGGCAGTAAAATTTTGTCCCAAAACGTCTAGCTTTGCAATGTCTGAGTACTTAGGTGTGCAATAACTGGCAGGCTAACATTCTGTGTGAGACTGGGGGAGAATGAGCTCCTGCCAAATTCTTCCTAAATTTCTTCTTTCTTCCCTGAACAGAGGGGAATTGCATTACCATGATGATACGTGCACTCTCACTGGAAATCAGCCAGGTGGAAAGAAAAGAAAAAAAAAACTTTTCTCTACATTAGCTGTCTCAAGTGCTCAACATATGTCATTGTGAGGTGCATGGGCATGTAGGGAGTTCAGCTGTGATATGGGACTTGTCCTTGCCTCTCATGGAGACAGATGCATCCCAGAAATCATGTAATTTGGCACAGATTCGGTGTCAGTTGGGAGCTCTGCTCAAGCCCAAGTAGTATCACCTCTGCTTGAGCTTTCCCATGCCATATGGACATGACTGATGGAGAAACAAGAAGGGATTTTCTAGGAGTAGTGACAGGGCTGTAGCAATTCTCAAGGAGGGCATCTGTGTTTACTTGTTTTAGCACTTCATAGCAACCACAAATATATAAAGACCCTTTCTTATTTGCGGATGATTGCAGTCACCCCAGGTACATCCTGGCAGGTTGATGACAAAAGAGAAATAATACAATCTGTGAGAACTTCTGCATGGCCCTCTAAAAAAGGGATGGGTACCACTGATCAAAACAAAGGATAACTTTTATGCTTCTTGTATGACTCTTCTGGATATCATTGCCTGTGGATGTTGGGAATGTGTTGACTTTTAGCTGTTAACAAGTCACAGTGGAGAGAAGACTCATGGGTAGAAAGAACCTCAGGTACAGGTGTCAGTCCAGGGCAAGAAGTGGCTGATTTTGTGACTGACAGAGTCTTCTTGTCTTCCTCTCTGATGGAAGGTTTATGTCTGTGATCTCTTGGCATAAAATCATGGCGGTGCCTTGGGTAAGACAGTATTTTAAGCTCTGACATCTGAGTCCATAGCTGGAGTTTGTCTCCCCAACTAGAACATAGGGGGTGAGACCAGGCTTGCTAGGGATGAGCTTAGGGGTGACATGCCAGAGTTAGGGGCAAAATTGGTGAGGAGGGCCAAGGGAAACCTCCATTCTTTATTGGACGTGAAGGGGGATATGGTCACCAAAGATGAAGAAAAGGCTGAGGTACTTAATGCCTTCTTTGCCTCAGTCTTTTAACAGAAAGGTTGGTTATCCTCAAGGCAGCTGGCCCCCTGAGCTGGAAGCAGGGATGGAGAGCAGAATAGACCCCCTGTGATACAGGAGGAGGTAGTTAGTGACCTGCTGAGCCACTTAGATGCTCATAAGTCTATGGGACCAAATGGGACCCATCCTAGGGTGCTGAGGGAGCTGACAGAAGAGCTCGCTAAGCTGCATCAGTCCTGGCTAATTGAGGAAGTCCTAGATGACTGGAAGTTGGCCAGTGTGATGCCCATCCACAAGAAGGGTTGGAAGGAGGATCTGGGGAACTACAGGCCTATTGGCCTGACCTTGGTACCCGACAAGGTTATGGAGCAGATCATCTTGAGTGTAATCACATGCAGGACAACCAGGGTATCAGGCCCAGCCAGCAGGGATTTAGGAAAGGCAGGTTCTGCTTGACCAACCTGATCTCCTTTTATGACTGCAGGACCCACCTAGTGGATGAGGGAAAGGCTGTGGATGCAGTCTGCGTGGACTTCAGCAAAGCCATTGACACCATCTCCCATGGCATTCTCCTGGAGAAGTTGGCAGCCTATGGCTTGTGCCGGTGCACCCTCCTCTGGGTTAGGAACTGGCTAATGGAAGGACCCAGAGAGTGGAGGTGAATGGTGCTGCATCCATTTGATGTCTGGTCACTGGTGGTGTCCCCCAGGGATCAGTGTTGGGCCCAGTCCTGTTTGTTATCTTTACTGATGATCTGGATGAGGGGATCGAGTGTGCCCTCAGTAAACACCAAGTTGTGTAGGAGTATTGATCTGCTGGAGGGCAGGAAGGCTCTGCAGGGAGATCTGGACAAGCTGGATAGATTGGCCAAGGCCAACAGTATGAGGTTCAACAAGGCCAAGTGCCAGGTCCTATACTTTGGCCACAACAACCCCATGCAGCGCTGCAGGTTGGGGGAAGAGTGTCTGGAAAGTGGTCCAGCAGAAAAGGACCTGAGAGTGCTGGTTGACAGCAGGCTGAACATGAGCCAGCAGTGTGCCCAGGTGGCCAAGAAGGTCAATGGCACCTGGCCTGTGTCAGGAACAGTGTGGCCAACAGGACCAGGGAGCGATTCTTCCCCTGTACTCAGCACTGGTGAGGCCACATCTCGAATCCTTTATCCAATTCTGGGCCCCTCAATTCAGGAAGGACATTGAGGTACTGGAGCAAGTCCAGAGAAGGTCAATTAAGCTGGTGAAGGGTCTGGAGAACAAGTCCTATGAGGAGCAGCTGAGGGAGCTGGGGTTGTTCAGCCTGGAGAGGGGGAGGCTCAGGGGAGACCTCATCACTCTCTACAACTACCTGAAAGAGGTTGTGGCCAGGTCGGGGTCAGCCTGTATTCCCAGGCAACCAGCAACAGGATGAGGTTTAGGTTGGACACCAGGAAGAATTTCCTCACAGAAGGGGTGAATAGACATTGGAATGTGCTGCCCAGGGAGGTGGTGGAGTCACTGTCACTGGAGGTGTTTTAAGAAAGACTGGACATGGCACTCAGTGCCATAGTCTAGTTAACATTGTGGTGTTCTGTCATAGGTTGGACTCAATGATCTCAGAGGTCTTTTCCAACCTAATTGATTCTCTGATTCTGTGATCATTGACTTTACAACACAGGGATGTGCTCTAGCATCATCTAGTCAACATCGGCTTGAACTTCAGTCACTACCATGAATATAAAGGCTATTTTTATGTCTTCAGATTAACTTAGTTCAAAAAAATTATTTGCTTTTCTCATTCTCATAGTTTTCTTGGTCCTTGTTTAGGGTGACACAATGGAGGCACACAGAGAAATTCAGCCCTGGCTCCATGTTATCCACAGAGTGTGGTCAGTCAAATGGCTGAAAGAAGCCAAGGGCTGAACCATTTAGAGATGGGGTTTGCTGCCTTACTGAGCATGGCTGCTCCAGTAGTGTCCAACACCTGAGAGCACCAGAGCAGCTCTGTATGGGTATAGGATTGGCATTCATTTTGATGGGTTTGGACTCAAGCTCCGTCTACGCAAGGAGTCATTCCTAAGACATAGGGCAAATGATTCCAGCCCAAACCAAGCAACTAATTGCCCTTTTCACAGAACTGCTGATGACAAACCACTGTGCTTTAGCTCTCCTGTGGTCAGGTCTACAATATAAATCTCTCAGTCCCTCATCCTATTATGTACTGGGTGGGAGGGGAACCACACACTCAGGGTTCCTGGGAAGGCAGGCAGACAGTAGGAGAGAGTAGGAGGCTTGTACAAATCCAGCTACAGATGTAACAGAATTTCAGCTGCTGGCATCCAGCTAAGCCCCTGCAAGGGGTAGAGACAGACATCACAGCAACACCAGCTCTAGTGAAGCAGCTGCAGGGATCACTGCCCACCTGAATTAGAGGGATTTCTTTCCCCAGAAAGCCAGCAGTGACACTGCTGTTTAAAGGATATCTTATTTTACAGTCTGACTGTATGTGCATGAACACAGTTATACAGAAACTCAGACAACTACGTGAGCTGCTTTTGTATAAGTGCAAATAACAATACGGCAGAATTGTTGCATTACTGAAAGTGGCCCAGGCCCAAAGCAGGATTTGGTTCTGTGCTTCAGGCAGTGGGGTTATGTGCTTGTACCAGATGGAGCTTTTAAATTTTCATCAGCAGGTTTATGAACAGAAGAATACCCTTTTATCCACCCCCAGGTCTTTTACTAATAAGGTGCAAATGCTGGACTTCAATTAGCATGGAGTGGAAGTGCAGATGAAATAATACACTTTCTTACTGATGATTATCTATCATGTGAGAGTGAAATAGAGATATGAATAATGACCTGTTTCAGTTTCTTGGAGCTTTTCTGTTGTTTTTTTTCCCCCCTTTATTGCTTAGTAGTATAATTGTGTGAAAATAGCTAAAAATAATGAGCCAGATGCTCTGGTGATTAAATTCTATTACAGGCAAACAGAGAGAGAGTTTTGAGCCCTGCTCATCTTTGCATTGACTTCTGTAGGTGTTGGGCCAAGCCAGGACAGGGGTGTGTGACAGCTGTGTTGTTCAGTTCACCATGGAGGTATTTTACAAAAGAATTTACAAAACTATATTTTTCCTGCTGCTGAGAGATGACCAGAGAGGTCTAAGTTTTGCAGCAACGTTGTGCGTTATCAGGGAATCCCAGTTTTCTTGAGGGGTGCAGGTGCATGGAGAGGCAAAGGGATTGATTAATTGAGTGCTGTCTTTGCCTTTAGCAGCACATTTGCTGGCCTACAATGTGTGCTTGTGTGCTATACATGTGCCCCAGATGAGAAGCTCTTTCTGGACCCTGCAGGCATCCAGCTACTGTGCTTGTTCCCTGTGCTTTATGAATCATTCAGGTTTCAACAGCAGTGTCAGCTCTTTGGAGGGTGTTGAGTAGGGTTCTCTACCTTAACTGATACCTCTTAGGGGGGAAAAGGTCAGTCTTGGCACATAGTTGGAGAACATATTGGGAAATTGTCAGGAAAGCTGAGGAAAGGTGCAGCTTTGTGAGATATAGATTGCTTGTGGGAATTTTACATCCAAGCCTTTTATGTCACAGAAACGTAGAATCATGGAATGTTAAGGGATTGGTATGGACCTTAAACACTACGTAGTTCCAAACCCCTGCTATGTGCAGGGACACCTCCCACTAGACCAGGTTGCTCAAGGCCTTATCCAGCCTGGCTTTGAACACTGCCAGGGTTGGGGCATCCAACCCTGTTGGATGTCTTGCCTTAAGGAGGCTTTGCTGGAAAAGTAATCCATTGAGAGGATAGGGTCTACTGCTGGAAAACAGAAATACATAAATTTGAATAGTAACTGAAAGAAAACTGTTCTCCCAATAATAATTGAGTATGTTGTGATGAATCAATCCTCAAAATATACCCCTGAAATACTTACTGGTCTTTTCTTCAGTGATTGTGCTTCAACAGAGGGTGTCTGCTCTATAGGCCATACTGGCTTTAGAATAAAATAGAGTAGAATCGTTTCAGTTGGAAAAAACCTCTAAGATCATTGAATCCAACCATAAACCTCATAATGCCAAGCCCACCAGTAAACCGTGTATTCAAGTGGCACATCTACACATTGTTTAAATACCTCCAGGGATGGTGACTCAACCACTTCCCTGGGCAGCCTGTTTCAATATTTGAGAACCCTTTCCACGAAGAAATTTTTCCTAATAGCCGAACTAAGATCGCGGGAGAAAGGCAGAGCAGCATTGCAAAGGTCTCCCCTGACAACATGAAACCAAGAGGAATTTTTCTCTTACCCTGGTCATGTAGGCTTGAGACTTGTAGCTGGAGGCAGCTGCTGCTCTTTTACAAAATGTGGCTGTGAGCAAGAAGTAGCAAGAAGACAACACAGGGGTTTACAATTGCCACAGGACTCTTGAGTGCAAATGCCATTTGATTCAATTATCAGAGATGCATGAGGCTTCAGTTCTAGCTTAGCATAGGCACCAAGGCTGAGAGATTATCGAGGAAAAATGGATCTGTTCTTTGATTTGCCATTCTTATGGCATATATCATTGTTAAAAGAGGGCCACTAAGCTTTTCTTTGTACTGCATTGGAAGTGACACATTGCAAGAAGAGGAGAAGTTCTATTTAAAATTGCATAATGAGAAATAAAGTGAAATGGAAGTGAAAGATCAAAGATAGGAAGTAGGGAGAGAAAGAAAGAGACCATGTACAGTATGGCTACACAGACATCTGAATTTCATTTTAATGAATCTCTGCTCAGGAAGGGAAGGGTAGCTGTTTGTGTACCAGGAGGGAAAGAACAGCCTTCTGCCACACACTGAGATTTCCTTTGAACATCGTCTCTTACCAAAATGAAGGACTGCACTCTACTTCATATTTTGCAGAATTAGAAAAGACCAAGCTATTTTCTGATTCCCTGCATCTTGCTTATGTAACTTGCAGATGACAAGGCTGTGCAACCTCTGGCTGAGCCCTGGAAAATTTCCTTGTCGGTGAGTCAGGTGCTTGGCAAACAGTCTGGCGCAGAGGGCTTGGAGATGACAGTGACGTTAGAGGCGTTACCTGGGTACCAGAGCCCAGTTCAGGGTATCTTTATGGAGGCTCTTCCTTCCTAGAAGTGTGCTGACCATCCTGGTCTTGTCATTGCCGAGTGTCTCTGTTCTGCTGTATTGTGTCTCTGCTATGTGTGTTAATCATGTGCAAGTACAAAGCATCCGCCTGGATTGCATTGAAGCAGAAGAAAGCCACAGCCCTGACTGTTATCTAGAGATGTGGGTCAGCAAGGAAGGGGGAGAAGAGCTAGGCAAGAATGAGTCCTCAGCCTTTACGTGAATTTTATCTATAAAAATTCTTTCAGGGTGTGGGGAGAACATTTAGTGCAGCAGGGCTGCAAAAGTGGGACTTCTGCGGAAGCACAGGGTCCCCCTTTTCAGTCTGCATTCTGAAACTCCGTGCAGTTGCTGTAACAGCGTTGGTTTGGAGGCTGTAGATCTGACCGAAAGCTAGAGGACAGGATTGCACATTGTGCTGTAGGACTTAAGTTGAGAACTATGAAAAGGGAAGGATTAGACACAGGGATGAGGGGAGAAAACTGAAAGAGATGCAGAACTGCTTCAGCGGCAAACCCATGGGTCAGCTGCGGTAGATCCGAATTACTACCTCTTTGGAAGTATGACTGAGAGGAGCCAGGAGGTTTGTACCACCAATTAGGTTCAGTCACTGCAGAGTGTCAAGGCTGGGACAACTGTGAGATCCCCAAATACAGTCCATCCTATATCAATCCATGCAGCAAACCTCCCTAGCAGTCCAGCCACGTTTAGAGCAATACTTAGCTCGGTGGTGCAAAGAGCCTTTTTGCCAGACTGCAGTGGGAGGGGGACAGAAAGAGATTTTGCCACAGGGATGACCTGGTGACTAATGATTTTCATTGATCATATGCTTGCAGGAGAGAGCAATCTATCATCTGCAGTTCCTGCAGGCTTTTCTGCTGAAGGCTCTGAGAAGGCAAACATGAGATGTTATCCAAAAGCAGGGCTGTGTGAGCCCACGGAACCTGATGATGCTGCGCTCTCATGGATGTACGAACGTGACGGTGCTGAAGACCCCAGTATCAGGAAATCTCTTGATGACTTCTACAAGATGTATTGCAAAAAACAACCAGGGAGAACGGATCCAACTTACGAGGCTGCCTCACGGTGTCTGTCACAGAAGATTTCAGAGCTGGCAAACCGGGATGGAACTAAATATGCATCACGTTGCCTGCAAATGGCACAGTTGGTCTTGAACAGAGACGGGTGCAAGATCTTTCCAAACCACCCCCCTTCTGCCTGTTTTTCGAAGCCAGCTGAAGGAGGAGTCTTGTTGGAAGACAGAAAGAGAACACCTGGGCTCTCAGATGACATCCTCCAATTCCTCTTGAAACAAACACAGGCAGAACATAGCCCTGATGTGTCACACGAGCAGTGAGCAAGACAGTGGTTTGTTTCTGTTGTTGGAGCTTTGCTTTCACTCTAAAAAGAGGTGACTTCCTTAGAAAGACACTCTTCTCCTGGCATCACCTTCAACACCAGACACTCCATGGAGGGGTTCACCTGGAGCAGACCTTGCCACCTTGTTCTCTGCAGGGCAGCACTGCACAAGGAGCACTCATGGTCCTCATGTAACTGCTTGGGATGTGTCACTAATTGGGATGGATGATACAGTGTTTGTTGCTGGGACATCAAACGTGATAATTTAAATCTACCAGGCTTTTAAGCTGACCTACATCCCTACCCCAGCTGAATCGTGGCCCTGCCCAAATTCATTCCCTGTGCAGGCATGGGTGTCCAAGTGTTGTTGATTATAACAGACTGTTTGAATGAACTTAGCATGGTATGCCCCGGACCTAGAGAGGGAAGCTTAACATTTTATTCTGTTCCTGGCTGATACTGTAACATGTATGCCTCCACTGGAGTGCCTGTTAGCTGTATGTGTTTACCTACAGGCATATGATCCCACAGATCATGACTGCAATGCAGGTGAGCTTTTCCAAGAGAAAAAGTGTGTACGTGCATGAGAAAGAGAAAATACAGCTTCTGAGCATGTTCTATGGCAACACTTTTTACTACCACCCCTCCAACAACCTTCAGTTCCTGTCTTTCATGATGGTGCTAATGAGATCCCTGGAGGAATGTTCCCTTTAAAATAAAACAGATCTCTCTGAGTCCAAGAAGGCTGACATCAGTCAGCAACAGAACAATGAACCCACACACAGCCACTTGAGGTCTCTCTCTTGGTGGCCTCCTTGCTCAGTGGCTTCTTTGCTGCCTTGCTCCCTCTGCCAGGCAGACAAATGTCTTTGTGCTTATTTTCCACCCACTGGCTTGTCCCCTGAAAGAGAGGTTTGCTGTAGTGATGTTGCTTGCTGACTGAGGAGGTCATTCTCCAGTGTGGATGTGATCAAGGAAGCACAGAGTGCAAGAGGAAGGGATGTGCTTAAGGTGACAGCATATGGGCAAAGAAGAAAGGATGGACAGTCAGGGTCTCCAAGGTCAACGTTAAGGTTCCCGGCTAACATGGTTACTCCAGTACAGCCACACTGCTTGCACCAGTTTTAGTATTTGATCTTCAGCATTTCAGTTTGGAGACAGCCCTTACCTTGCCAGCCCAGTTGCTGAGCCCTCTCATCAGTTCCCTTTCTGCACTGGCCAGATATCAGGATGGGTTTTGGTGTTCATGCACATCAGATTCCCTGCTTCGGTTTCACACAGGGCTGCTGTTCCTGCCTTGCTGCCCCTGGCAGATTGGCACAGCAGCTGTGGTCTGCAGGTGTTTCCAGCAAAGGCAATGGAAATTTGGCTGTTGACTTTAATCAGAACAGGAAGAGGCCCTGCTGGCCCAGCTGGCTGCAAGTTATGGCCAAGGTCTTAGGACTTGGTGCGAAGTCTCTTTGCAAATAGATTTATACTGGAACTGCCTGGTTTAGTTTCCTGTCCTTGAATCATCATGGAACTGATACATCTGGCTTCTTGGTGGTTCCACTTGGTGTTTTGCTTGCTTGCTTTTATGGCAGAGGTGCTGTACATGTGCTGGAGGGCACACAAAATATTGAAGCAGACCCTCGGCTGCTCCCCTGCTACTCAAGTTAATGGTGCTTGGGGAAAAAAAAGAGTTGAGATGAGAATGCAGCATCAGTTCTGTGGCAGCAAATAAATCCACAGGTGCTGGTGGGTCAGAATCCAGATGAAAGCATCCTGCAGGCAAAAACTACAGATAAAGGTAATACCAACTAGTTGGTATTACCAACTAGATACAGCTGGAAAAAGCAAACATACTCCTGAGTGTGCTATTAGTAATTACAGTAACACTTCTGGCCTCTCCCTGCCAGCTCACATTGCTTAACCACCACAGATCTGTCACAGCTACAAGGGCATTAATACTGACAGATACAGGGAGCTATTGCTAAGGATGGACAGGGAGGAAGGAAGGTCTTCAGTGTGAATCAGATGGTGTTGCTTTTAACTTTTTGCCAGCATTTATACTGTTCCACACAGTTAAATTAGTTGCTGTGCAAAACCCTTTAACTGCCGTTTTAAGGGAAATAACCTCCCGGGAAGAGAGAGATTGAGAAATCAGAGGTCTGCATCTGAATCCCTTTGGTTCCTGTATTTGGTTTAGTGATGAATTGGTCTGTGGTTTGGGTTAGCTTTGAAACCATCTAGTCTCCTATTCAGAATTTTCTTAAAAAAAGACCAAAGATGTGCAATTTCCACAAAGAAAGCTTGCAGCAAAATACGAAGTTCCTGTTCTTTAGGCGAGTCCTGCTGCTACT